AGCTGCAGAGCTCTGTTCTTATGGCCTGCCTCTCCTCCAGGCATAATCCGTGAGCCCCTGCTTTGGGTTTAGGGTTGGGTATTTTAAAATAAAAAACAAATACAGATGTTATTTCCAAATAAGGTAACATTTACAGATACTGCAGCTTAAGACTTGAACATATCTTTTTAGGGACACAAATTAACCAGTAATAGTCTGCCCTCTGGTCTTCCAAAATTCATGTCCTTCCCATGTGCAAAATATATTCATCCTATCCCAATATACCCAAAAGTCTTAACCCATTCCACCATTAACTCTGCATCCAAAATCTCATCTAAATATTATCAACTCAAAAAGTCACCAGTTTCATCTTCTAAATCATTTAGATCAGATATGAATGAGACTCTGGGTATGATCCATCCTGGGGAAAAATTTCTGTCCATCGGTGGACCTGTGAAACCTAGAAAACAAGCTACCTACTTCCCCAAAATACAGTGGTGGAACCGGCATAGAATAGAGATTCCTATTCCAAAAGGGAGAAATTGGAAGGAAAAAAGGGTCACAGGTCCCAAGCAAGTCTGAAACCCAGCATGGCAAACTCCATTCGATTTTAGGGCTTGGGAATAATCCTGTTTGGCCTGATACTCTGTTGTCTGGACCCACTGTGTTGGTGGTTCTGTCCTGTATGGTAGCTTCTGGTGTTTTAGGCTTACCTCTCCAGGTATGGAACCCCCACCCTACAAGCAGGCTTGGGTGAGGGCTGTTGAGGCCTCAGTATTCTTGGCTTGTCACGCCTAGGGTAGAGCCTCTACTCTATGAGTGGGGCTTGGGTAGAGAAAACGAGCAGGCCCTCAACCTCCTGGCCACACTCACTAGGAATTTAGTCTCTGTAATTCAGAGTTGTGAGAGATGAGAAATGCTGGCAGCCTGCCTGTCCTGGTAATTAGGAGCTGAGAGAAGAGGTTGTCTCATCTTCTGGAACACAGCAGCCTAGAATGGAGCTTCTGTCAAGCTGAGCTGCTGCAGGTTGGGAGGGAGTGGGTTATAGTGCAGGTGCTACAGACTCCAGCTGTTTTTACTGAGAGTAAGTAAAGTTTCTTGAGTGTTTCTTCATTTACTGTATACCTTTAGGACAATTTCCAGAGACTTAAAATATTTTTTTAAATAATTTTTTTCACATTATGGTTCTTTTGCTGGGAAATGGGTCCTCAGGGCTCCTCATGCCAGCATTTTGGAAGTGGACTTCATGACTTTTCACTCTTAAATATTCTGCATGCGTTTTGGGTGTATAAGGACATTTTCTTAAATAGCTACTGTGTGATTATCACATCAATGAACTTTAGCAGTGATTTAGTACTAGTAGCTGATAACAGCTCTGCAGCGCCCACCAGGGGCCTTCTGAGGCTTAGCTCAACTTTCTGACTCACTGGACACCATGGGCCACATTCACATCAGATTTACTTAGAGGACACAAGACAGAGCTGCAGTAGCAGGTGCCACAGCCGCCCTGTCTGAGAAGCCTTGTGGCCCCGCAGTGTAACTGTCCCAGAGACAGAGCTTCCTTGCCCCACAGGAGACACAACTGTTCCGAGTCACTGCACTCGGGAGCTCAGAGTCCTGGGATCTATACCAGGTGTTCACAGTTCTCCAGTCCGTGTGCCGTTTGCCTGTCATTAATCGTTGTTACCATAAGTGGTGTTGCCTGGTGTAGTGAGTTTGAGGGAACTTGGGCTGATCAAGAAAAAAGACATCATGAGGTAGTGTTGTACAACAGGCCATTTACTGGTGTCGACACATTGACCCTCACGTAGGAGCTGGTCCCCATGACAGGAGGTCTTCCAGAGGTAAGTGGTGCAAGGAGCCACCAGAAGGGGAAGAGGGCATGAAAATCCCCGGGGAAGAGGGGTGGGGGCTTGTGCGCATCTTCCGCGATGTTCTCCAACCGCGAGGTGGGGAGTCTCCAGGTCAGAGGATTCCAACACAGCCGCATCTGAAGGTCCTCATAATTATAGCACTTTATCTTTTTTATGGTTACCAGATGTTGGGTGCAGTTTCATGGGTTATGTAAAGCAGGCTGGTTCTAAGTGGCTCAAAATCCAATTATTTGAGCTATTTTTAAAACAATTGCATGTGTCCAAATTTGTGAGTTTTGGTGCCAGTGGGCCTTTTTTTGGGCTAACAGGCCTCGTCTTGCTATGAAGAAGTAAACAACTTGAGACGAATACACAGAGGCCATTTTTTTACTCATTCATAACACCTGGCAACATGGCTATGTGCTTTCTAGAGCCAGAAAGAGAACTATAGGTCAAATTCCCATGCAGAAAGAGAAGAGATTTTGTTAATCTTTTATCTACGGCAGCCCATATTCAAATGTTGTCAATTGCCCCAACACTGCCCTTTATAGCACCCTTTTTCCAACCTAGGAGCCCTGGTGACACAGTGGGCAAAACGCCTGGCTGTACCCAGAAGGTCAGCTGTTGGAACCCACCAGCTGGTCCACAGGAGGAAGATGCGGCAGTCTGCTTCCGTAAAGATTCACAGCCTTGGAAACTCTATGGGGCAGTTCTGCTTTGTCCTGTAGTTGCTACGAGTCAGAATCGAATTAACAACAGTGTGTTTGGTTTTGGGGTTTTTTTCCAACCTAGTATCTTGTGTTGCAGTTAGTCATCATATCTCTTTAATTTCCTTTAATCTGGAATAGTTCTTCAGCCTTATTTTGTCTTTAATGATCTTGCCATTTCTGAAGAGTACAGGCCAGTTGGTTTATAGTTTACCTTAAAGCAGCTTGGTTTTGTCCGTGTTTCCTCATTCGTTTTGGCGGGAATGTCACAGATGTGATGCTTTGTCCTTTTCAGTGCGTCCTCTCAGGAGGCACATGCCATCAGTTTGTGTCATTGCTGGTGACATTAACTTCGACCACTGGTTAAGGTGGTGTCTGCTAGGCTTCACCACTGTAAAGGTAACTTTTCCCCTTTATAATTAATAATCTATGGAGGCGCTTTGTTTATACTGTGTGATCCTGTTCTTCAACAAACTTTCATCCTCTTGTTTTAGTATCCATTTGTGATTCTTGCCTACATCAGTTTTTATTGTGATGTTGCCAAATGGTAATATTCTAACTTTATAATCCCTTGACATTTATTCATTGGCCCCATTTCATTTTTAAGCACGTATTGTAATACCTGTCTTTCTGCTCCTTCATTAAGCAGGCTAGCTTCCTGTATTCATTATACCACATTACTGAGGTTTTACTGCTGAGAATTAAAATACCCAATTAGAAGTAGGTAGTTTAATCTACAGTAATAAAATCTCTCAAACTAGGAGCATTTTGATATATCAGAAGAACAAACATATGTCTCAAAGACTGGGAGACCCCGCTACACAGAGCAGGAAGAGGGACCAGTGTGATGGGGAGGCGTGGGCAGCTCCTTATCTCTGCCTGCCCACTCCCCGGGGACGTGTGGGAGGGTAGCCTGAGAGAATACGTGTGAGCATTGTGTAAGATGGAAAAGCATTGGGTGAATGTAAGGGTCTGGTGCCCAAATGGCTGAAAAAGGAGCCATATCAGAGGGGTTCTAAATTATGAAAGAGGAGTAATCTCTGTAAGCGACAAGTCATTGAACCCTGTTTCATAAACTTACCATATAAATAGATACAGTAGATGCAGGAGAGTCGAACTTTAAAGACCAACTCTCATTTGAGACCAACATAAAACCCCATTCCAAAGAATGTTTGTTTCTCTGAAGGGGCTTACTGAGCTAAAGATAATGAATTTATAAAGGTTTTATTTGTTTGTTTGGGCTGGCCTTTGCTAGTTGCAAAAAATATCTTGGTCACTGTAAATAGTTTCTCATGCTGCTATTTAGAATAATTTAAAGATTCTTTATAGGGAAAATAAACATTATGACATTCATTATTCTTTCCGTTTTAGTTTTCAGGTAAAAATTCCTCTTTTAAGTATATAGTTTGTAAATACCTTATTTTGTACTTTTCTAACAGTGTATCCATTTATATCTCTTTTATAGGTACTTCCTATTTAACAGACATTGTGTGGTGGGCTGGTACAATTGCAAGTAAGTACCCTGTAGGTTGAGGAGTTTCTTGTTTTTCTTTCTTAAGATCAGTCATTCTGTGTGCACAGGGCTGGAGGTGGGTGGGATGAGCATAGCCCATTCTTTGGAAGGTAGTGTAATTCTACATCTTCCCCGGGTCGTATATGTCATCCCTGATGTCCCCCTCACCCCCCTGCCCCCACAGAGTGGCTATCTTTGTTCTGTCTCCTTTGTCTCTTTCCCCTGGTTGGAAGGGAATGGGATGGAACAGTGTAGGATGAGAACAAAGACAATCGGAGGTAGTGGAAGGAGGAGGCAAGAGGCTCCTACTGCCTACAATAAGTCTTGGATCTAGTCTAGATCATACTGTCCTGGGGTGAAGAAATTAAAAGAATTTCTTGAAAGAAACAGCTGCAGCTTACTCATCTGTAGTTGGGCTATTTGGCATTTGGTGAAATTCCATGTGTCAAGCTGCCTACTTTTGCTCAACAAAATTGGTTTTATAAAGGAGAGTTTCTTAATTCAACTTAAGTACCAGGTGAGAGGTCGTGTGTTATAATGTAAAAATACATGTTTAAATATGTAAAGGAAAATGTATTAGAAATATCATGAGGGTCACGTGTCACATATTGGTTTTTAGGCAAGAAATTATCTGGTAAATGTTGAATTCTTTCATTGAAGTGCTCGTCTTTAAGCTCTCCTCTCTGTGAAGTCCCTGATGCAGACCTGTGTGGGCAGTAGTGTTTTCCTTCGATATTCAGCAGTGTGTCACTGTGGCCCTGCTGCTTACCCTGGAATAGGTCCCGGTCCACCTGAAGGGGTGAAACCCTTTGAGAAGGCATTTGGGAAGCTCTGCATGACTGGTCTTAAAACCAATGCTATGTTAAGGAGAAAATGGAAATATATTCCCTTGTTGCAACACTGTTGGTTATACTGGGATGACTGAAAACCACTCACCCAACTACTTTGACTAGTGAAGCTGCTGGGCCTGCTCTCCTCTGCCATCTCAGTTGTTAAACATGTAAATGATGTCCTCCCAGATTTGCTTCCTCACAACTAATGGTAAAGAATTAAACTTTTTAAAACAGAGCCTTGCAAAATTAAACCCTGTGATCAATGCTAATACATAACTTTATGATTGCAAGTGGTATCCTTATGATTCTCTTGACAGTGGCTGTTGGCCAGATTGGAAATTTCTTGGCTTATACGGCGGTCCCCACGGTCCTGGTGACTCCCCTGGGTGCCCTCGGAGTGCCATTTGGGTGAGAGCTGGGATTTTGTGTTACAGTATTTAATGTACAGTTTAGATATTGAAAACTTTTTATTTTAAATGTTTCTGTTAAAATAATAAAAGTAAAATTGTAACTGAAGAGAGATCTTCAGTATTCCAGTCTATATCACTTAATTTTATCCTTTCAAACTTAGTTCTGTGTATTATTAACCCTCTCTTAAGAAATTTGCTTTAGTGTATTTCAAACTTTAACTTATTCATGGATATCAGTGAGTCACTCCTGTGGCTTTTTTTCTGGAATACTTCCTAGACATAGAGAGTCTTCACAATGCGTCTGCAAGTTATTCTGAAACATCATTAAGCAAAATTTGTCAGTTGGTATTTTATTTGGGTGCCCCCACATCCTATCCTGCCCCAGAAAATTATAGAGGTCAGGTCAAATGAAACTTGGGCATCAAGGGATGTGAAATAAAATTTATTACGCAGTAAACAGCAAATGAACTTCCGAAGGAGAAAGGCTCTGGTTTGGTCTCAAATGAAACAAGAGTGAGGGGGACTTTGAGTTTTTATTGTGGTTAGGAGGTAGATCCAGGTGGAGGTTTTCACACTCAGGCTGGGGCTTTCGTGGTTGGAAATTTCTGCCTACACAGAGGGACAGAGAGCACAGGGGATGCAGGGCTCCAGGAATGAAAAGTGTAGGCAAGAGTTAGAGCAAAGGGGAAGAGGAGTGGGGATTTGAAGGCTGTCAGCAGTCAAACTTCAAAATGGAGTCTTTATCTTTATTACAGTTGGCTTATCTACAAAAAAAGGAGCCCTGGTGGCACAGTGGTTAAGTACTCGGCTGCTAACCAAAAGGTCAGTGGTTCGAACCCACCAGCCACTCCGTGGGAGAAATACGTGGCAGTCTGCTTGCGTAAAGATTACAGCCTTGGAAGCCCAATGAGGCAGTTCTCCTTTGTCCTATAGGGTCGCTATGAGTTGGGATCGACTGAACAACAACAGGTTTGGTTTTGTTTTATCTACAAAACAAGTTAAAAAAAAAAAACTAACTAAAAAAATAGTATTTTTATCACATCTTAGAAAGATAAGACATTTCTAAAGTTTGAAGCAATAAAAATTACAAAGGTTAATTTTGTACAATAAAAAATAAAATGGCAGAAGTATCTCAATCAAATATAACAATTATTAAAGCTATAAGATATAAAGAATTCCTTCTAACTGATAAAAAATAATATAAAATTTCCAGTAGATAAAATGGCAAAGGCCAAAAACTGCCAGTTCAAACATAGGAAAAGTACATTTATTACAGTACTGTTAAACCTCACTGTCAGTAAAATGCATATAAGCAACCAGATAGAGTAAGTAACATGTGCATTCAGTAAACTATTTAAAATGAGAATAAGGATGTTAGAAAAGGTATCTGGTAAATAACATGATAAATACAACAAACTATAAATATATGCTTTCTCTCCCTTTTTTCTCAGCTTATTTAATAGACACAAAATTATATAAGGTAATTATTATAGCAATCCATTGTTGAGTTTAGAATATCTATAGATGTAATGTGTATAATAATAATAGCACAAGAAGGGGGGAAAAGGGATAGAGTTATATAGGAGTAATATTTCTATATACCACTGGAATTAAGTTAGTATAAATCTGGAGTGGATTCTGATAAGTTAAAATGTATATGGTAAGCCTTAGAGCAACCACTAGGAAAACAACTCATAAAGAGTAATGTGAAAAAATCATTAAAGGAATGAAGATGTTACACAAGAAAATATTCACCCACTGGGAAAGAAAATAATTAACACAGAATACAAAACAAAAAGACCTAAGACATATAGAAAACAAAAGGAATGATTGACATAAATTCAAATGTATCAATGATATTATTAAATGTCAGTGGATTAAACAATTCAATCAAAAGGCGGAGATTGTCAGGCTGGATAATAAAACAAGATCCAATAATAGGCTGTCTATAGGAAGAACACTTTAGAATCAAAGATAGATTGAAAATAAAAAGATGGAAAAAGATATATCCTGCAAACAGCAATCATAAGTGGATTCAAAGCAATGAAAGCTGAAGTAGGTATGTTAATATCAGACAAAATGGACTTTTAAACAAAAAATGTTACTAGAGATAAAGGGAGACGTTTAATAATGACAAAAGGGTCAATCTGTCAGGAAGACATAACAATTATAAACTAATATGCACTAAAAACAGAGTTCTGTAATATGTGAGCAAAAACCGAGAGAATAAAGAAGGAAATAGACATTTCAACAGTAATAGTCAAGACTTCAATATCCTAATTTCAATAATGGATTAAACAACTAGGCAGAAGATCAAGGAAATACAAGACTAGAACACTACTGTGGAGTTTTCAATTAACTTTTAGCCTTGACACCTGAGAAGTAACCGCTAAAATCTTAGAATTAACCCAGTGTTTGGAATCTTGGTTATATATGAGGGCTCCAGACCTGAGGGTTTATGCAAATGAGGAGAGTCTTGGATGGGGGCTGGTCAGACCAGAAAGACCCACCATGTGATAGCAGCCCAACCTCAAGGGGCTGGAGGTTGAATTCAGTCACAAGGACAATGATCCACGTACATCAGGCCTACATAATGGAACCTCAAAGTAAGAACTTTGGCTACAGAAACTCGAAGAACTTCCTGGTTGATGATAGACATTCATGTATGAGGGAGGGTAACATGTCCTTTGGGCATGGAAGCTTTGCGTTGGGAACTCTCCCAGACCTCCTCCTCTTGCATCTCTTCATGAGTATCCTTTTTGCTATCATAAAACTGTAATCCTAAATTTTGCACTTTCCTGAGTTCTGAGAGTCATTCTAACAAATTATTGAACTCAAGGAAGTAGTGGGAGCCAACAAGTAGAAGTGAGGGGGCCCTGGAAACCCCTGAACTTAGTGCTGACATCCTGATGGGATGGTGAGTGTTATGGATTGAATTGTATCCCCCAAAAATGTGTGTCAGCTTGGCTAGGCCACGATTCCCAGTATTGTGTGATTGTACAACATTTTGTGATCTGGTGTGATTTTCCTAGGTGTTGTAAATCCTACCTCTATGATATTAATGAGGCAGGACTAGAGGCAGTTATGTTAATGAGGCAGGACTCAAACTACAAGATAAGTTGTATCTTGAGTCAATCTCTTTTGAGATATAAAAGAAGCAAGCAGAGAGACAGGGGGATCTCATAGCACCAAGAAAGTAGTGCCAGAAGCAGAGTGTGTCCTTTGGACCTGGGGTCCCTGGGCTGAGAAGCTCCTACACCAGGGGAAGACTGATGACAAAGACTTTCCTCCAGAGCTGACAGAGACAAAGCTTTCGCCTGTAGCTGGCGCCCTGAATTTGGACTTCTAGCCTACTAGACTGTGAGAGAATAAATTTCTGTTTGTTAAAGCCATTCACTTGTGGTATTTCTGTTATAGCAGAACTAGGTAACTAAGACAGTGAGAAACCCTGAATTTGTGCCAGTAGGTCAGAGGTGAAGGTGTTGTGGGACTCCCAAGCTTGTGCTGGCATCTGAAATCTTTGGCAGCCCTGGCAGTTTGTAAGACTGTGCCCTTTAACTTGTGAAATCTGACCTAGTTCTGGTGGTTAGGGTCAGAGGAAAAAGTACTACATTTTCATCGGTGTTAGAACAGAATTGAATTGATTTTTTCAGCTATAAACTAACCAGGCAGAAGTGAAATTGGAAATTAATGACGGAAAGGAATTTGGGAAATTCATCACATGTATGGAGAAATTAAACAACTCGCTACTGAATGACCAGTGGATCAAAGAAGAAATAACAAGGAAATAGAAAATACTTTGATATAAATAAAAATGAACATACAGCATACCAAAACTTAGACGATGAAGCTAAAGTAGTGCTCAGAGGGAAATTTATAGCTGCAAATGCCTACATTAAAAAAAAAAAATCTCAAATCAACAACCTAACCTTCCATCTTAAGACCCTGGAAAGAGAAGAGCAAGCAAAACCCAAAGCAAGTAGAAGGAAGGAAATAATATTCATTAATTGGAAATTAGTGAAATAAAAAGAAAACAAAATTAAACCAAAAGTTGGTTCTTTGAAAAGATCAACAAAATTGTCAAACTTTAGCTAGACTGACCAAGCAACAAAGAACTCTCAAATTACTAAAATCAGAAATGAAAGAGGAGAAATTACTATCCACCTAACAGATATAAAAAGAATTATAAGGGTTACTGTGAACCACTGTATGCCAACCAGTTAGATAACACAAAGATGAAATAGACAAATTGCTAGAAAGACACAGAATACCTAAACTGGCTCAAGAACAAATAGAAAATCTGAATTGACCTATAACAAATAAAGAGATAGAAATGGTCATTAAAACTTGTCACAAAGATGGTTTCACTGGTGAATTCTCGCAAACATTTAAATAAAAGTTAATACCAATTCTTCACAAACTATTTTAAAAAACTGAAGAGGAGGGAACACTTTCTAACTCATTTAATTTGATCATTACTACCCTGATATCAAAGTCTAACAATAACACCATAAGAAAAGAAAACTACAAACTAGTTCTCATATGAATATAGACGCAGTAATCCCCCAGTAATCCCCAAGTAAATACTAGCAAATCAAATCCAGCAATACATAAGAATGATTATACACCATGACCATGTGAAATTTATTCTAGGAATACAAGATTAGTTTAACATTGAAAATCAATTAATGTAATATACCATATCAATAGAGTAAAGGATAAAAACCAGATGATCATCTCAATACACACAGAAAAAGCATTTGATAAAATCAACACCCCCCCCCATGATAAAAACACTCAATATTTTAGGAATAGAAGGTAATATCTCAAACTAACAAAGGGCCTCTGGGAAAAAATCCCTGGCTAACACCATACTTAATACTGAAAGACTGAATGCTATCCCACTAAGATCAGGAACAAGTTTGCTCTTGCTGCTTCTGTTGCATTGGAGGTAGTTAGGCAAGAAAAGGCATCCATATGGGAAAAGAAAAAATACTA